GACATATTCCAAGTTGATTCTATTGTGTGACCTCATAATTGAAAAGGCAAAGTCAAGGCATACTGGAAACGAAACCTGTTGCCCGACATCGAGGAGCACCGAATCGTATATTCCAAGCTGAATCTGTTGCCGGGCAACGAGGAACAGAGATTCGTAACCGAAGAGGCATATTCCAAGCTGAATCTGTTGCGAGATCTCGAGGATTACTGATTCATAATTGAAAAGTCCATGCCAAGGCATATTCCAAACTGAATCTGATGACCTCGAGGATCTCGACTATTGAAAATGCCATGCCAAGGAATATTCCAAGCAGAATCTGTTGCCGGACATCGAGGACCACCGGATCGCAATCGAAAAGGCAACGACATATTCCCAGCTGAGTCTGTTGCGGCGCAGCGGAGATTGATTCGCAACTGGGGAGGCACATTCCAAGCTGAACGTGTTGCCTGGCATTGTTGTTGGTGACCCGGTGACGGCGGTCGAGGCGTCTCCGCCTTGCCGAGGGGGCGTCAACCGCCTGCCTCGGCCATGGCGGACGGCAGCGACTCGGCGACGACACGCTCCGCCCTCGTGGATGGGCGCTCCGGCCCGACCGCGCCGCCTCGCGAACACAAGGAGGACGACGACCAGCAGGTACAGCCCCTAGATCATTCAATTCAGTTTATACCTTATTTTCCGGGGCGAGTCTCAGGCCATGGGGCTTGCCCTTCCGGCTGAACACACAAATTTCTCTACGCCCCCTTCACCAATGCTACGTTACATTCAATAACGTAACATAACATTGTTTTCGAATGCAAATTTTCAACCTCCTAGTAAATTGACCATTACTTTAAAATAAAATCAAACATGATATTTGCAAAAAGTCCCAAAATAGGGTATTTTTAACTCACTTCCACAAAGTACTTGTGCGAAATAATTAAAAACCTACCTATTTCATTAGAAATAAGACTTTAAAGCCCCTAGAAAAGCACGCAATGACTCATGTTAGAGACAGTTGGAAAAGATGGCCGTGGTTACGATTTGCACCGTATGTAACGAATAAAAATTAATCATTTGAAGGAATTTGTTTATTATGATGTTTTGCATTGGTCTGTAGTAATTTCATTTCCGTTATTATTTTCAGTGAGAGAATTGAAATGATAGACTGTCGACAGTCTAATACAGATTCCCGTGATCGTAAAGATCAGAAAACATAGTAACTAATAAATTACAGCAATAACTTTCCTGGAATCATTTGAGTCAATCATCGACTGTATTTCCTAATACAAATATTATTTACAACCTTCCCATTTCGTAGATGCCAGACACCTTGTGTGCTTCGGCTACTGAGTAGATATAACTGCTCAAAACATTTTTATATATTTTTTTATTGTTCTTATTCCTCTACGTAACGAGTAAAGATGTTATGAGTCAGTTGAATACAAAATCTACTCCAGGTCGCCACAAGCTTTCTAAGAAGATCTAGCACCGACAGTTGCCTCTACAATATGTGTACTGTTTCAAATAATGACTTGCACCTCCCAGTCTTTTGAATGACCTGGGAGTTTATCGCAAAGTTCTTACAACAATCTACATAAGTTTTCCTATTGAGGTTTAATACGTTCTATACTTCTCTGCTGTGTCCAAATATTTCCTTCATTGCAAATTGCTTGTCTGTAGGAAGAGAGATCCACGCCGAAAAGCCCCGCCGAGACACGTTCCTGCTCATCAAGCTTGGTTGGGCGCATCGCGGAATCGCTGGCCGAGGTATGCTTTCTAGCAACAGACGAGAGACGCAACACATAGACCGGGAGCCATCAAGGAAATCCACGTATGAAGCTCAAAGCTGAAACTTGTCGAGAAGTTAGCCTGTGTTATGAGAAACAGGGAAACGCAAGTTTGAAACGAGTCTGTGCGTGTCGGCGTTGCGCTGCACAATTTTTTGAATTGTTTCTCTAACCACATTGACCAATCCCGTGAACCTATTTTATTTCTTTAAAAATATATTACAAAAATACTGGTTTATCCATCGCATAGTCGTCGTCTAATATTTTACAGATATACAGGTTTATTCGAAACATCCAATCGGTATGGTACTGACAGATTCGTCTTATAGACATTAAAATAAAATAAAAAAATATTTTTTCTCGTGTGTACCTATGATACATGACTTTGTGACAAATCGGACATATTTGAATCAGTATGGCGACTAGTTAGAGACGCTGGAAAAGTATGGCGTGGTCATAATCGGCAATGAAAAATAATTCTACCATTAGAGCAAAACATTAGCTTTGAGCTCGTAATACAAGAGAGCTTTAAAACAATCACACTTACAATTCAAAATGGCGTACAGTACTACACTACAGAACACTAGCATTGGACGTAAGTCAAGTGAAAGGAATAAGTTTAATTATCGATCAATAGGGTAGTGCCGGGCAACGAGGTTGCTACCTCCCCTATCAGGCTGCTGGGCGGCGCCATTTGCGGAACCTACGTTGCCATTTGAGTACTTATTGGCGACCTTATTTATGTCGGTACGTTCATGAACAACACCGCGATTAGGACACAGAGGCGAGTGTCCACAGCCAATGAAAACCGTTCTACAGAACAAGCGGTAGTATGAAAGCTGAAGATGTCGATTCGAAAACAACCCTACAGACCTACAGAGATTATTGTAAACAATGCAAGAGGAAAAACGCTGATCTCAGTCTTACTCGCGCAAGATTTCTTCATACACGAGCTCCCTAGTTCTCTCCCAGCACTGAATAGCTCGGCCTGTTGAGATACGTAAGTTCGTCTCGGAACGGCACATACCAATTTACAATGCTGGCAACACCCACCTGATACTTTCAAAACAATCTTAGCATTTCTCGAGGCACGCTTTGGCGAGTGTAGTTCACACCCACAGTTGGTACGCCCTTTTAAATCGCGACGAAGCCAGAGCCCTCCTCTCCCCCGCTGAGGACTATCAAGAAAACATGCGCGTAGAGTAGGAGTTGCCGCTGCAGTTGGCATCCCTGAGGGTGAGGTGGGCGCGCATGCGCGTGCGTTCGCAGGCGAGAGGCTGCGCGGGGCGCGCGGCGTCGGCCGCCGTGGAGCGCATGCGCCGAGTGGCGGACTCCGCCTTCGCCCTGCCCCCCAACGTGGACGCCGCGGACACCAAAGCCGTGCACGCTTACACCGAGGTGACGAACCACTTCATGTATTCTAGACTTTGATTTAGACCCCTAAAAATTTAAAATTCGGATCCCATAAAAATAGTATATATATATATATATATATATATATATATATATATATAAATATATATTATATTATATATATATGCCAAAATCTGTTTTAGATATTTTGTCTGTCGCTCATATATTAAATTCTGTTTATTTTTATTCATAATGCTCTAGTGCCCAGGGACAATTTGAGTGAGACCAACTGTAGCTTTATTTAAAATTTGTAATGTTAAAATCTCTGAAAGGCAACAAATGCCGAACAGCAGAAATATTTTTAAAATCTTAGTCCCTCGTACTTCCAGGCAAACAATACCTGCCTAATTTTTTTTATATATTGCTAATTGACGGATAACTTACGTGAGATGACGTCATCAACATAGATTTCCCCTCTTTTCTGTTGGTTCGTTTGCACACATAGTTAACGCTCCTTGAATTGCGATTTCAGCGGGACGAAGTGAGAAGAGAAGGAATGAGGGGAGATAGAAGTCCTGGAGATGGCGCAGGCACTGTTGGGTCCACAATTAAATTCACTTCCTTATTTTTCCGTGGCGAGGCTCAGGTCATGAGGCCTGCTGTTCCGCCTGACCACACAAATTCCACTAAGCTTCTTTGAATTTGTTCAAAGGCTTTATTTATGCTTACTGTTTCGCATGGAGTACATCTACAACAAGGGAGAGCCGGCTTTACTTCTTCGAAGGAAGGCTATAAAGGTTTTTTTCGCTCTTAAAAATTCACGGCTTAGATCGAGTTTAAACCCGCGAAGTTGGGTATAACAATCAAATACTCCTACCGTTACATCACCGAAGTCACCCTGTCCTGAATTGAGCTTGTTGGGCAGGTGCACTAGAGCAAACACAACTGTGAACGTTTCAGGAATGCTTTTGGCCTTACATCGGTATGTAGAGGACAGACTCGTAGGAAAGGACCTCACAAGTTCCGCGGACAATTGTTTAAGATATTGCTCCAGCTTTCAGTGGGAGTTGGCCGAAGAACGAATAATTAGAGCATATGATTTCTAGAATTCTCGTGCATGCAGTAGCATTTTGCGGATCAGCTATTAAGCTGGAGCAAAATATGTCGCCAAGTTTCAATTACCGGCAACCACACACGTTATACACGTTAACGCATTCGGGACGTCATGCGGAGTTAATCGAGGTGTGCCGCAGGGTCGGCATTCCGACCTGGTGTCGGTAATATAACCTAAGAAAGGACGTAGGACATGGTCTACGAAGCTGCAATTCTGGGATTGCACATTCATATGGTATCGCTCCCCATTTCCTAGTAAATGTTTTTTATTTGGAGATAAGTGTACATTCAACAAATATGAACAAACTGTTGGACCGATTTGTTACATTATACTATGTGTGGAGTGATTGGAAGAGAGAACGTACGCTACGAAAATAAGCGTCATTTGCCAGAATAGACACGAAAAAGTACAAAAACATGTTTCAACGAGAAAAAAAATACGTTGTGAGTTGATAATTTTATTTTGTATTTAAGCAGTTTAAGTGTTAAAGCGTTCTTGAAATTCTGTCAGTTGTGGAGCAGGGGGTGCATACAAAGACAGGTCAAAAAGTACAATTTTTTGGGACCCTTTGTTTAGTTGAACTGCCCCCCCCCCACGTGAAAACCATGTTCTTGAAATTTCTCATCCTTTCCCCGGGAAACTAATTTTGTTGTGAAAAATTCTTCCATAGGGAAACGGACATATATTATTTGCCATAGCAGTTATCAGTTTGCCGGAGATACTAGAAAAACACACTGAAGATTCGCCTGATTATTTTGTCTGTGCAGTACCTACACGAGGAGTTTAGTTCAAGAAACGAAGACGCCAAAGAAAAGACCCCGTTTTTCTGTCCCCCGTTGGCGGACTCGTCATCTTTGATGCGATCGGAACAACATACTGAAGCTACCTCATCATCACCGAAGCCATTACCCGACGTGATTCCTCGAGACGACAACAAAGCAATTGTCCCGGACCTGCAGGTTTGTTTTTTACTTGATGACGGGAAGAAAAAGTAGGGCAATGGTAGAAAACAAGATGTAGGTGGATTTATTAACGACCTAGTATGTCCCGAACAGGTCTTCAGATTTCCATATTGCATTGGTTTTCTGGTTTTGTTATCCCTAGTGACACTGGATGTATGAGGTCCCCCGATTTTAACTTTTATTCTTCCAAAGTAGGCGTGAATGTTGCTGGTTACCTTCTTTTCCCCGACTGCGCGAACACCAGGTAATGTGGTTAACTAGGATCTTCCTGGGGAGCTCATCAAGATTATTGTAAGTAAAGAAACAAACGACCTTAAATTATATTTTTGTTCGATGATATGGTATAGTTTTATTAACTCGCCCGTTCGAATTATTTTTCTCTTTCACTACTGACGGAACAAGTGCCACCTCTTTGAGGTAAAAAATATAATATTTAGCTCATTTATGAACATTAAATCCAAAACATTGAACATCTTGTTCGCAATGTGTTTTAGTGGCTTTACGTAGCACGTGACATGTAGAATAATAAAACCAATTTATAATATTTCATTTAAGGAAATTTGTCAAACCTTTCAGACAGAAAAAAAGTGTAAATTGTGCGTCGTATCCGCCATATTGAATTTATAGATCTAAGGCATTCACGCTGTTTAGGCATGACTTCCTGACGTGACATGACGAAAGCATACGTCAAATAAAAATATCTGTCGAATCAGTTAGACGGTAAGTGGTACTAAATTCAGATACACCACGAAATTCAAAACCTTTCTGCTTCTTTTCTGTAGACTTCCATTCTTTGTTGTTGTTCTTTCTCACAGGTGGATTTGAACGAAAACCCACGCAAGCCTTCTTTTATGCAGAAGGAACCGGAAGATCCAGACTCATTGTCGTGCGAGAGTGAATTTGCAGATTCCAATGAGGACGTTGCGGAAGATTCGACTCTTTTGCGGGATTTGGTCCTTTTGAAAGACGACTCTGAGTACACCACGAGTGATAGCAGGCCGCAAGATCGTATGGACCTTGGCAGTGCGTTGAACAAGTTAGAGAAGGACGAGGTCTGACGAACTGACTGGAGTCTGAGGTATGTTGGTATCAACTAAGGGACTCAAAAGACAGACATCGTACTAGTTTACAACTAGTACTTCATACTAGTATATGGAGAAAACTGTATTAAGAGGCCACTAATAGTCTCGGTGAAAACTGCCCGTTAACCGTCGCCCGTTGCCGGACGGTTAATCAAGGTTATGATTTACGAGGTTACGGGATGGTACCCTCCGTAAATCTATTAAATGTGGCCTTAAAATTGTCAGCAAGTTTTCTGATCAACACTCCCTTCACATTTTCAAGACATCTTGCTTCCCCTAGTGTCACGCACATCATTGACTTGTGATTTTTTTCTATTAGTCGAGACATTCACTGTCCATCATCATCTAACCGAACTTGCTAGCAATGTAGATATCGGAATTGACACTTTCAGGTACGAGCCAGACGTTCAGGAGTGAGACATATACAGGGAGTGAGACGTATTCAGGGAGAGAGACAGACACAGAGCGAGACAGAGGTACAGGGAGCGAGACAGAGGTACAGGGAGCGAGACAGAGGTACAGGGAGCGAGACAGAGGTACAGGAAGCGAGACAGAGGTACAGGAAGCGAGACAGAGGTACAGGAAGCGAGATAGAGGTACAGGAAGCGAGACAGAGGAACAGGGAGCGAGATAGAGGTACAGGAAGCGAGACAGAGGTACATTGACAAAGAGTGGAAGACCGACTTACAGCGTCACACATGCACTCCATACGAAGCCCGTTGACCACTTTCCAGCAGCGGAAGTTGATCGTCGGCGGCGACCAGAGAGCCAGAGCGAGAGCGCACGATGTCACGCCGAAGCAGCAGCACGGACTCCCCGCGGGGCGGCTGCAGCAGCACCAGCGAGTGGTACCAGCCGCAGGAGCCGTGCTGCGACTGCGACCACAGCCTGTTCCACAGCAGCGGCCGCGAGCACACGGCGGGCCTGGACGACTACGGCGACGACCAGGACCAGTTCATCGTGCGCCGCGACTGCTCCAGGAAGTGCCGGCGGTGAGCGCGCGAAGCGCCCTTGCGCCACTGGTTGGGCTAGGCTGTCTGAAAATTGCGATTAAAAAGATTAAAAAATCCGTTTTCTTTATTTAATTCCATAACAAGGTGTGTTTTAAGACTTGATTTGATCGGTCCAATGTTTTATTCTACATGTTTTATTACTACGCGTTATAAACATCCAGAAGGATGCCAATTTGCCCATGGCCTCAACTTAATTGGGGCTCCGAATTTTTTTCATTGAAAAAATGAAAAATATATATTCGCCTCTAATATATGCTATAAGTTATATCTGATGAATGAAGAAATGAATTCTGTTCGTGAAGTGGGAGAGGAAGAATATTTTTGTTTGAAATAAGGGCCCCCTTGGATCACTGCCCCAGGCCCCTGATTTTCTCTGGGCGACTTTGGTTGTAGATAATATTTGCTCGGATAGTTATTTTAAAACAGGTATTGCATGGCTGTAATATTTTGTCAGCATTCTGCCATTTAGACAGAAGAAACCCACGTATCTTAGAGCTTCGCATATCGGGAGCACCTCGAGATAGATAGTTCTTGATGTCTTTGCAGGCTCGATTTTCCGTAAAGAATGCTGCACGGCAGCCGCCGAACGAGAGAAACGCTCGAAACCATCGACATGGAATCCCCATCCTAATGTCGTCTCGCCACTGGTTGTTGGGTCCTGCAGGTACTACAAGTGCAGGGACTTCTGGGTGTCGACGTGCCGACCGTCGTCCGCGCAGGCCGAGTTCCCCAAGCGGCACGAGGACAAGTGGAAGCAGACGTGCCCGACGCCCCGCCGGCCCACCATGCAGCAGTACCTCAAGCAGCAGGTACTCAGTGCTTCGTTCCCCTATCTTGGGACCTGTGTACAAGTCTCTCAGAATAAATGTTACTACGTTTTGGGAGATGTAGGTCAAAAATGTTAACTTTTTGCCAAGAACAATTTCGTACAGTAGGAAATTTCATATTACGGAGATAAACTTGTGGTATTTCCTCAAGGACCAGGTACTTCAGTGCTGCGCTCCCCAATCTCGGAACATGTTTACGAATAAATGTTACAACGTTTTGGGGAATGTAGAAGGTCGAAAATATTAACTTTTTGTCAGAAACATCGTACAGTACGAAATTTCATATTACTGACATACACTTCTTGCATTTTCCCCGTAGAAGTGGTACTTTGAAGACCAATATTTCAGTACTTCGCTTCCCAATATCAATGGTTTATAGGTGTCAGAATAAATGTTACAGAGTTTTGGGGGTGTAGAGGGTCGAATATATTAACTTTTTGTCAGAAACATTATCGTATAGTAGGAAATTTAATATTACAGACTTCTTGCATTTTCCCTGTAGAAGCAGTACCTCGAGGACCAACACTTCAGTACCTCACCCCTCAACCTCGGGACTTGTGTACAGGTGTCTGAGAGTAAATGTTATACAGTTTTTGAGGGTGTAAGGGTTTGAAAATGATCCATTTCTTGCAAAGAACATTCTCATACAGTAGTAAATTTCATATTACATACTCTTGTGGAGTTTACCCCTGATTGGTAGGCAACTTCTTATACACATGTGTACTGCACGCCGCATTGGGATGGAGTCGAGATTTTATGTTCGATCCGAACTCATGCATTCATGGTTACCTAACATTCTGAAGAAAATACAAGGGTTCGGGCAGAAGTCATGGCAACTATTTGTTTAAAAGAAATATCGGGTCACATAATTTTATTTCTTGATTGCAAAAATGCATTTCTAGTGTGTTCACAACAACAGAGTTGAGTGTCTATTAGCACCGAGAGCAATTTGAAATCACTTACCTAATTATTGCCGTGCGGGATGAATGTAAATGTGCCCTAACAAAAGAATAAAGTAAACTTTTCTTTAATAACAATCTACTTATCCATAGCCATATTCCAACTGGATTGCCAAACAGATTCAAATCCAGAAAACAACTATCCAAACTACTGCTCGAAAGTGATGAGGCGCATATTCATGTGGAAGGCATGTAGTGTAAATAATTTGGTAACAATAAAACACATGGGTTCGTACGAGGGTACTGGCATTCTACTCACTACAAAACAAGCAATTTGGTACGGACAGAAGCTTTCCATGTGTTTAAATCGAATTATAACTTTCAAGCATCGATTCGCTGACCAGGGAGTGACTGCCTTTCCAAACAGAAAGGGAACTACATTGAACGAACAATATGTCTGAAATAGTTCGCAAACATAGCAATGCCAGCCATAAACTTCCTGGGTTTGACATCCCTCGTCAAATATCGAAGACGATGAATCGCATACGCGCGGGATGGGAAGGTGCTGTGCTATGTAGGACTGTTCCGTCTAAATCAGGGGTGCCCTACGGTGTCGGTATCAACTCCCTGGAGGTCGATTAAATTTTGAGGGGTGTCAACGATGATAAAAGTGTCGATTGGGGGTGGGGTGTCTATAGCCGAATATGAACTGGCGATTGATAGTTTTAATCAAGATCGTTATTATTACAAAAAAAAATATTAAATGAACTTGAATTATTTTGTTATAGAGCAACAAAAAATATAACAATAAATTATATATTATGCTTATCTTCTTGAGTATCCGTCGTTCATTCTTAGAATGAAGGGTGTAGATACGCTGGGGCAACTCGTGCCTCCGGTTCCCGGAAGTAAAAGGCCGTCGATAAGAACTCTCGCACAACACGCTAATTTTCTCCATTACACCTGCCACATTATTACATCAATCAGATTTAAAATTTTTAATTTCACGGTTAGGGGTACCATTTCAATTTTGTCACCTGGGCATTGATTTTCAACATTAGCTATATAATTAGGTTGAAATCTAGCGGCCAGCTGCACTAATCGACAGTTTTCCTTGATTTCTCTATTCAATACGAGGTGAATGAATTCAATACCAGAGTGATACCCTTGGAAATGGCCCATGGACCAAACGGATTGTACGAAGACCACGCGCGACCTTTTCTTCCTCATACTTGTCTCCACCTTTGGCCTTGCACATCTACACACTTAAATGCACACGAGCCTCGGATGTCAGGAGCTTTTGTGCACATTGAGTTAGAAGAATATTGTAATACAATATTCTATGAAGTTGATCAAACATAGTGTGTGTGCTGTAAATGTCACATCAATACAAGTGTATGGCAATCATGTTTTTCATTGTAATTAAATTTTTGAAGTAGATATATTCAATATGGTGAACCAAATTTTAAATTCACAGTCTTAATATCATAAATAAATAATATCTAGGTCTTTCACATTCCCTCATGAGATAAATGTATATATTTAGTTTTTATTCCTTGTGCTCATGCATAAAAGAAAATTATTTTGACTTCAGCTCTGCTTACCTACTAAAAATACACATTTATTATAGACTTTTGCACAGTACCTTACTACTTTTGAGCCTGACATTGCAGATTGAGTTGTGCATGCAGAGAGGCTCAAAATTGCTTAATGATATGCAAAAAGTATGTATTGTCATCATGGGAGATTCTATTAAAAAAATATGTTCACAAAATTGAACTTGTTTAAAGCCCTCCTTTGTAGAAAGTGATAACACTCAGAAACAGACTCCTTGGGGATGACTCCCCTCCTCTGAGAATATGAACATAAAATACAAATTTTAAGTATATTTTATTTTAATTCTTGAAAATGAATAAAACATTTAATTATTAATTTCTGTGTTTATAGTGAGATAGCATTTGAAAATTAAACTTCATTGTGTAATTTGATAGTAAACTTTTCAATTTGCAACTTAGAATAATTTATTTTTATTTAACACAATAACCAATATGAAAAAAAATATTGTGAGAACATTCTTTTTTCATCAACAAATCCAAACATTCTTGCTAGTTGTGGGGCCCTCTACTTCTAAAAGTGAATCTATTTTTTCATTGGCCCTTACAGAATTGTTTTGTTTTATTGATGAGTAATTTGATCCTCTCTCATTCAAACAGGAGGAAGAGCGTGAGGCAAAAAGAAAGGCACGACTGGCCACTAAGACTGAAGACAAGAAACCCAACAAAAAGAAGTAATTGTAGAAAAATAATAAAAGAAAAATGTTGAGTATTGAAAAACAGAGATTGTATGTTAAACACTTGCTTTGTTTGAACATACATTTCCCTTTGGCAAATGAGATGAACTAGATGAGCATACAACTCCCCTAATTGACAATGCTAACAAAAAATTGTTATGCTAATGTCATTTAGTTATTGGTCAATAAAAGAACTAAAGAAAATGAAGCAACAAAAAACAGCATCAACTGGCCACATTCTGTTGTGTCATGTATGAATAAAATACGTGAACTCCATTTGTATGTTGAATTTTATATCACTTAACATAAATACTTCAATTACTGCTTCTACCTAGAATAACAATTCATCAGTATTCTTTTATAATATAATTATGCTATTTCATTCCTTGTAACTCATTTCCTGAGTTGATATTATACAAAAAGCTCTGAAACACCACATTGGACAAGAAGTAGTATGGCAACTTATAATACACCCTAGTGTCCCAGCCTCCATTTCTCTCTAGTGGTGTAGTCTTCATACTCAATCCTCTTTTCATCATTGCTTCTTCTTCTTCTTCTTCTTCTTCTTCTTCTTCTTCTTCTTCTTCTCTTTCTGCCCATAAAGTCTAGGTCGTCCTCTTCTTTGATGGGTAGCTGGTTGCCATTTCCACAATATTGTTTGTCAACATTCTTTGTTGATTGTCCATGGGCATGACAACAATTATCCAATGTGGATCGAAAATGGGAAGAACTTGAGTTTCACTAAAAAGTATGTTCAATATAAGTAGATGAGGATCGTTGCTCAATTATCATAAAAGAAGATGCTATTTAGGATGTTAAAAATAATTTATTATTTTTATTTCTCCAAAGCCAAATACAGTAGATTCCTAGTAATCCAAACTAATTGGTGGTGTGTACTGTTCAGATTATCTGAAAAAATGAGCCATACATATGCAAATACATCTACGGTAGCCTATTACCAAACACAATGCAACGTAGCATGTGATTTGAGAAAATGGCAACTTAGCATGGCAATCACATCATCAAGCAGATTCAGTTCCTTTTGGCCAAAAAAATATTACCAATTTTGCAAGTTCATCCAAGTGAAAATTACTGGTACATATACACTGTCATTACCAATGTAATAAAACTTCCATTTTGAAAACTTTTTTCAATAATTAGTTAATTGTTACTGTGAATGGTGCATTATCACATTTGAAAAAAAGCTTCATTTATTAAACAGTGTGTGTTAAACAGTTATAAATTCTTTAATTTTTGCATTAGTGTGCTCAGAACATGGATTAAAGTTTATTAATAAAAAGTATAATTTTTCCTGACTTTTTTTTCCTTCAGACCATGAATAATGATTTCAGTAGCCAGTACAACGTTTTTTTTAAACTATAATTACATCATAAGAAAAAAATGTTTGAAAAAAACAACAACACATTTTTTAAAATTATTCCCATTATCGACATTGTTGGGCCTCAGTTGGTCTCGGCACTCTTCTGGCATGTAAAAGAACAGTAGCAGATGCGCAGCAAAATTAAATCCCTACTACAACATTCGCTCTAACAAGATCTCACTTTCTCCCAACCAGACAGTTTGGATATAGTAACTGAAACCAATATCTGGTGGAGAAGGTGAGTCAAATACCAGGCACATTTAGGGGACCGCCCACAAGGTGCACCCGCTTGATTAAGATCTCCAGACCCACACTGGAGGTAGGCTTCTAAAGAAGCCTGGTTCGAAAACTCAGGGAAAGCAATGGGAAACTACTCTGAGTATTTCCTCCTTAAGAAACCCATCATGGGTTTACTTTTGTCTGTGGAAGAATAGAACCAAAGGAAAAAATAATATTACATCCTAGCATGTACGTATGGACATGGAACTTTTCTTGAAAATCTTCTTAGAAAATTTAATAATTATTATATGTTTAGAAGTAGGATCAGCTGAAATATAAAAATATGTCAGAAACTATCATCTACCTGTTTAAATGGGTGACTCATGTGGTGTGCTCTGGCCCAGCATTATCTGTTCCACCAGTATGGCCTGCTGCTATAGAGAGATTACTACACGAAGGGACTGCTTTGACAGACACTGCTTGGCCTTACCTGGCAACGGATTACTTTCACAAGTGGGGAAATAAATGGGCGATGAAACTTTCATAATTGTAAGTTACAACCATGCACTCATTTTGCCAGTGCATTAATTTCCAAATGGCTTCATTGCCCATTTATTTCCCCACTTTTGAAAGTGATCCGTTCTTATAGTAACTTGTCTATAGCAGAGTCTGCCCTATGAGGCAGGATGGGAGAAGGGAGGGAAGGTGCTCAAGCACCATTGGCTCTAGATTACTGAAAGGTGCAAGGCACATTGGTCACAACCAGCAGTTGTTTTTTTCTCAAGCATTTCAACAGCCCCTGCATTCAGTGATACAATGGTAAAGAATAAAACAAAAAAAGTTAATATTCATGTATTCTGTAACAACTTTGTCACAAACACAATTGACTTTTTTAGAGCCGTTTTTCTAGCACGTCCAAATCTATGTACAAGTGAATAACATAAAATTACACAACAAAACAAAAGTATACTGGAATTTATTTACACCAACAAAAACTGATCTATCCTATTAACCGCAACAAATGTTATAACAAACAGGAGAAAAGAATAATCTTGGCTTACAGTGAAGAGTCAATTATATATGATATTTTATGTAATTGAAGAACATTTTCTGGACATAAACATATTCTTTTCCTTAAAATTCATACGTTAGCCAGTACGCAAAGTAGTAGGAAGGGCAATTTATACAAGAAAGTTTGCACATAATCAAACATAAATGTTGCCAATATCACTCACAATTGATAAAACATTTACACAATTCCATTCCACTATAATTTACACACTCACACACGCTGCCCAAGAAACTGTGTCCAGATATATTAGATCTTTATGATGGCTCATCTCCAGAATCGTCAGCAATTATAATATCATGTCCAGGTATATTTGTGGGGTCAAATGTTGAATCAAAGATATCCAAGAGACGAGGTCTTTTTCGTACAGGCTGTGGAGATGATGCAACAGTATCATCTTCGTTATCTGATTCGCGTAACTGTAATGATACTGAACTAGCATTGGACATCATCAATGGTGGGGTATTGAAATCCTGTTGAGCACTACTTAGGTCCTTTGAAGTCCTTTCTTGATTTATAGCATTAGAAGCCATCATTCTATTGCTCAGAACACATGAACTATTCAATCTATTCCCTTGAAAGCTAGCATGTGTGTTGTTATGAATGTCTTCTCGGGCGGATCCTTCTTGATTATTTACAGTTCTCTCTAATGGTCGACTCCTTTTTTCTCCTCCTGAAACAAATATTATTTCATTAGTATTTCAACAGTACTCATATACAGGGTTCACTGTTCTACAAGACATTTGTATTTACAGAGTTACGTATATTTATATATTTATATTATATATATACACATACACACACACTTAAATATTTACACAGTATGGTAAAATTTCCTTTATAATCTTATGCAAAAACTCGAATAATTTACAAATAAAATATCTGATTTACAAAATACTGTCTTAAGAAATAAGTGTCACAATGTTCTCAAACGTGCAAATGATGTTCTTATCTCTGAAGGAAAACATATTATTTAATGCATATTTTTGAATTATAAAAATACCCAAAAATACCCATACCCAAAATCAAGTCCATTTTGAATTTTGGACATTCTTAATATCCCAGAATAATGTAGAAATAAATGTAGAAAAGTGTAAATGTGTAAATGTAGAAATAAAATAAGGGAATTAAAGTTGTGAGATCAAGAAAATATTTGGACTTAAACAAGTTTGGATACAACTTCTGTATGTAATGATATTTTACAAACATCTTTAGAATATTCAAGAAATTACAAACCGTTCAGACGACTTTCTCCAATAGATCAGACCAAACTCAAGACTTTGCGAGTTTGAAATACATATTTTGAGGTTTGAGGGTACTTTACATGAACCCGCAACAAAATTTTCAAAGTTTTCTCAAAAATGGCCCTAATTTTTTGATTAAACTTTGTCTTTGGATAGCAAAGATAAATTAGGATTGAGAGAATGATGTTAAAAACCCTGATTTTTCGAAAATTGCAAAAGGGCAATATTTTTGGAATCTTCCTCCGACTACAATTTTGAAGATAAAGTTTTTTTCCTCAACAAAACCTGTCCTTTAAAGACAATTCTTGAAATAAATTCATGTGCAATTTCATCAAAAATATGAATTTACATGTAATTTTGCGTGAAATATAGGCACTTTTTTATTTTTTTAAAACATTATTTTCTCCAAAACTGCTCCAAACTTTTTTAAAAACAGTTTCTCCTGTTATGTATCAAAAGACGGTCAAAACATTGGTGCCAGTCTTATTTCTGGCAAACACACTGAATTTTCGAAGATTGCAAAAACTAAATATATCAAAACTACAAACTTGAAGATAAGAGATTTTTGTCTTTCATAACATCTGTTCTAAAAAATCATTTCTTTAAAAAAGGTCATGTACAATTTTTTGAAAAAACAATAAGTTTTTATGTCTTTTCAAGTAAAATTAATGCAAACAAGAAGAACATTTTCTCAAAAACTGGTCCTATTTTTCCTTAAATATTTTACTTGACAAGGAACACTTAAAAGAAAGGTGTAGGTCTAATTTTCGTTGATCTCTCTGAATTTTAGCAAATTGCTTGTTGGAAGTTGAGACAACAACATTTTTAAGACTCAGCATGAATTTGGAGGTCACACAGTTTCCATGGTGTAGACATAAGGCACACAGTGAGGCAACTTGGAAGACCCGAGTTCGAGTCTGGGAGCAGAAAAAAAATTTTGCTGGTTGAATACTCTTGCAGACCCATGTAGTAGTATAATATAGCAGAGCATGAAAAATAATATGTGAAACAACAACTGTTATAACACCAATAGTTTTCATGAGTACTCATAGAGACATTAGATACATATTCAGTAGTTGTAAATGTAATGGAAAATCAGGAATAAGAGTTATCAATAATTTTACGATCACAATGGTACATCACCTCAAGAATGCACTCTTTACAAGCAAAAACAAAGAGGACCCTGAACTTAAGCAACAAATAAACAGATAAAAACTGTGCCTTTGAAAGATGGAACAAGTTTACCCAATACGTTCCACAAATTAGAAGTTCATGAATGTGGAAAGAAGAAATTATTGAATAGGTCAAAATAAGACTAAATATTTAAGAAAAACTTATACTAACTTGTTTGATCAGGATGATGCCTAGAGCTGGTATTCCCACTTTTGTCACTCCTTGTATTTGATAAAAGGCTAGGGCTTTCCCCTTTCCTAACAGATACTCTCTCAACACCCCTGGGAGTACCACCTCTCAGTTCTGGAAAGTGTTCTTCGAGCCTGTTCTCATTGCTAGGCGTGAGATTGATTCTTGATGCCACAGAAGTACTTTGCCTCACGTTTGGAGGAATAGTAGGCTCTTTTGCACCAGTCCCTACACTACTGACAACAGGAGTATTTGAATTTTGCTCCCGCATTCGCTGAGGCGTTGAGTCTATTTCGGGTGACAAGGTGGATAATACAAAACTAGCTTCGTAGGTATTTTCATGTTTCACTGCAAACACCACAGGTCTAAAACAAAAATTGCGAAAAACAAGTTTCAATCTCCAACATCCTTTTGCAATCAATGTTTGTAATGCGCAAATGAATAGTAAGCAAGTTACTGGTGTGATAAGTGTTCTCCTTCAATAAAAGAAATTGCAAAATTATTGTAAAACAGCACTATATTATTTTTATAATGATGTCCTAAAATATGTTTATTATGTTTGTGTCTTAAAACTGTTCATGCTTATGTTCTTGCATAAGAAATTCCATTCAGACAATTCGTTAGCATGTCTTATTTCCTGACCAGATTTTTAACTGAATAGCAAATAAGACCTACCAAGAATGACCATGATATTTTATGTAGGTGGACTTGAAATTAAGATTAAAATACTTCTGATTTTAATATTATTTTTCTTTCATACAAATAATACTATTTGTAAAGTGTTTCTTTCAATTTGTATAGACATATAATCAAATCTTGATTAAAAATTAATTAAAAAAAAACTACTACAACAAAATGCAACCTTGGGAGAAATATTGCAATTATTTGCAACAATGCAAAGGGTTGATTTAATTTTTTGAGATAAATGAGATTGCTGTTTTGTAAAATTGCATATTATAATAATTGTATTAGATGAATTTAAATACACTTATCACTTGAGTGGCACTGTTATACTTGTACATTTAACTACTTTTTACATTTGTAGACTACATTATATTTTTGTGACTCATTTGTATATGTTAGGCATGTGGTTAGGCTGAAGAGCTGGCCTAATAGCCCAAGACACACCGTAGCAATAAACACATTTATTATTATTATTAATTATTATTATTGTTATTGTTGCTGTTGTTATTGTTGTTATTACTATTACTGTTACTATTATTATTATTATTATTATTATTATTATTATTATTATTATTATACTTACTTTCCACCTGAATCAAAAGACGCTTCAACACTTTGTCCAGTGGCTTCCGCAAATGCTAACAATGCACGGAATTCTTTAAGCGAAAAAGTAATGGCTGTCTCATTGTTTACAACATATTTATCAAATTCAACAGGGTCTAGTAAGATTTCTGTCGACTTCCTCTTCGATGGATCTACAATAAATGAATTTTATGAAAGAATTTCAAAATAATTTTTTATCTTTTTTCTATCAACAAATATATAAGATCAGTTCGTTACTTATAGAACCATCAGTATAGCTGCGAATAGATGTTTTCTGTGAAGTTACAGATAGAGTAACCTCTTCTTGAGTACTGTGAAAATTATGAACCGTATCTGAAAAAAGTTGAACCTGGGCTAGCAAGCTATTAGAGGCATCATCTTTTGTGTAAACAACCTGTAAAAACAAATTCAATTAAAACTTTGCAACTAGGATGGTGATGATTTAATGCAAATGATTGTTTTCAAATCAAATACTTTTTATCCTTCTTTAAACACATTTTAAAAAAAATACTTGTCAACCAACCACCTTTTTAATTAATCAACTGCACACTAACTGTATTTCTGGAATTATTTAACAAAAGAAGCAACCCGAAATTAATAACAGATGTTAATATATACAGATTTCAGAATATAAATAAATAAAATGAACATATATTACATTTCCACTTACCTATTTATATTTTATTATTTAATAATTGACTCAATACTGAATTAATCAAAAAAACATATGCAAAAGAAACAAACATTCAACATCAACAAGATATCATTTTAATCAATTACTATTATCAATAATAATGTATGATAAAATTTCCCATTTGTATAGTGTATGATTATAACTGAAGAATTGATTAATCTACATGAAAAATATTAATAAAAATCTGATTTATATAAACACATTTGATATTAAAAAAAGAGAGAGAAACCCACAGTGACTCACCTGCAACGTTTCACATTCAATTACTGGTAGGAAATGAGTTTTTGCAATACCCATACGAAATTTCATTTCAAACACCAATTTGCAACCATCATCTTCTAAACGCATTTTGCAATTTTCTACTTTTCGGTCCAGCATAACAGGGGATCGAAAAACGGGTAAACATGACTGTAAATTTAAAAAAAATTAACCTTAGTACGGTGAGAAATAGGTTGCTTTGCTATCTTTGGAGCTGTAATATCTCTTTACTATATTTTGAAATTATAAATTTTATGTCAACACATCATTTATTTGAAAATTTAGTTGCCTGTCATTTCTCTACCACTATAAACACTGTAGTTACGATATTTGATTATTAATACTGTTTACATTATGTTCTTCTTCTATTAATTATGTAACAAATCAAATTAATTTTATTACCTTAACTTATTTTTTGCAGTATACATTTAACTGATATCTATTTTGATTTATTTTCATAAAAAAGGAAGGGAAAAAAAATAAAAGAAAAAAACATGTATGGGGGAGAAGTTGATTGAATTAAACCTATTGGAGTCCTAGAATGGTAATCTGTACATATCATGACATACTTGAATACTTCTTACAGCATTATATAAAACTTTTATTACCTTCATTGATATTTTGCATTTACAACTATCTTCTTGCGAAGAGTTGAGGGGCTGGGATGGCTCATGTTTATAAAATGCAAAGAATGATCTGTTGAAAGTAAATGATGCATATGCTGATCGTGAGGAGTTAACACTCCGGAAAGACATTGAATTGGCATCTGGCTCGACATAAAGTTCATCACCAATACGAGCAAGAGATTGAACAGCTCGTGCTAGCACTGAAAAAAGTTCTTAGTAATTAACATGTTCGAAATTTACAACTTGAAAAAGTGACAATATTACATTACCTTTCATATTTGCTCCGGGAATAGTACACTTCATTGCGAGTAAAACAAACCAACATAATAGAAACAAAAAAATTAACAAATATTTTATTCACAATTATCAAGAATTGTAATGTTACTACACAGAAACATTGACAAGATGTTTATCTGACAGCTCGTAATATTTTATTGGAACAATTTTCCAAACACAACTTTCATATTTTTTCTCTTCTTAACATTATCCATTTCATTATGTGACACACACAGTTTTTCCCCTTCTTTTTCTCATTTAATCAGTGCACACGTTCACCCGCTAACCTCACAACTTGGCCCGCGGAAAACTTTAAGGGACATGAGACACATGCGCAACATCACAGTGTTTTGTTTCCTTGTGCGTTTTCAATTGTTCTCTTTGACGTAGTTGGTGTGGGTATTCCAAATTTCGCTGTATTTTGACGTCTTGCTCCGTCTTTCACGTCATGGGACGAAAAATCTGGGAGTCCACCTTCGGAGGAAGAGTTGTAACCTAGTTGTAAATTTGTGGCTGATCTTAGTAGTTTTTTCATCGTGACTTTCACGTGAATAGAATTCACCTCTAATGGTTAGTTCGGTTATTTTAAGAAATATATAACGGAATATTTTACTTAAATTGAAATGTGTGAACGACGGGATACTTTGTGTGAAATTCATTATTGTAGCCATAAGGAACCAAATCTTTAAAACCCGCTCTGATAATAGTTAACATTGTGGCTGTAAGTGTTTTTAACTAATTCCCAAAACTTGATTTAATTGCTAACCACCCAAAGTTTTAAATACTTATCTTGTAAACAATTTTTAAAAACATAGGAAGATTTTTCTATGCTGCTCTTCTTGTTGAGTGTCTCTCTTGTCATTTTCTTAGTGTTGAGAACGATCTTAATTTTTATTGGATTAATTTATTTTAATGAATAATAGAGCCAATAAAAGTAAGAAAGTTGAATAGCAATTTTCTTCACAAGTGAGAAAGTTAAGTCTTTAGGGTTTGGGAGAGGAGGCTTAAAATTAGTGGATAAAATCCTTTTGGCCTTACAGTGCCATCCTTCATATTATCCAATCTGATAATTAGAGATGGTGTATTTTAGCATTTGCTAATAGTGTGAAATGTTATCAAATCCTGAAAAATCAGTCATTGTTTATTTGACAGTTGTTGCTGCATATTTCTGAAGCTCTTCAATGTGCAATAAAATGCTAAATCTCATACAAACTATAAAATGGTCGTGAATCTGTGATATAATCCATAAATTGTTTTTTATGGTTTCCTTCGTGTTCGCTCTCTAGCTAGGGATGCAGCATTGACAACACATGGATGTTTGAAAACGTGTAATTTAAGAGTGACCGTATTTATTAGTTTAGAATTAAGATTTATCCAACAAAACAAAGTAATAAACAATTAAAAGAACTGATCGTGAAAGCCTGAGCACACAGAGTCCTTTTTAAGGAATCTCAGTTTCCTCAATTCCCTGTACAGAGATGGTCACAGGAAGAAGAGGAAGGTCCATGGCATGGCTATGCCACACATGTTACTTCTTACATGTTTATAATTATTTAGATTCACAAATAGCAAAATATTAAATTAGTTTCCCTTATTTCCTGTTTTTAATAGGAAAATCTAAAAAGCATAATAATAATTTTATCACAAAGAGTCCTGCACTATTAATTATTCTTAACAAATGCTACAAAATGCTAAATATTAATTTTTATAATGCTCTAAAATGCTATAGCCTTGTTTTCAAAACATAATTTTTTATAATTTAAATTGCTAAATTCTACCATCACTAATCATAACGTAAATGAAAGTGAAAAAAATTGATGTTAATATCTAGGTTTTGCAAGAACATCTTGCTGGCAAGCTCAAACAGTCTTGCTTTGTTTTAATGAGAATGTTGTCCATAAGTTGTAAATAAATCAACGTATTGTGATGATTGTCAATTAAATTATCAAAGAAATAAAATTCTTAGCTATACATTCATAGTTATTTATTTTATGGGGAAGTTATTTATTCATGAGTGCAGAACTTTTTGTGTGTAATTACTTATGTGAACAGTTAGCCTAGCATGACACGCAACATTATCCAATCACCTTTTTAACATATTAATATATTTTCTAGTAATATGATTATTGTACTTAAAAAATGTGTTTTCTTTGGGAGTAATTAAAAATCGCATAACTTGCTATTCATTAAGATCAATTTTAGCAGTAGGTGCAATGGACATGTTTGAAGAAATTCTTGAGTCTATTACAATTGAAGCTGCTAAGGCTGAGGAGGGTTTCATGCCGTGAAAATCCAAAGAAAATGTCAATAAATAATACAAAGTTTTTAAGGAATACTGAAAGGAAAAGACAATTTGAGGTGTATGCAGAAATGTATTGACTTTTTTGTTGTGACTGCTAATACCAATACATTTTTACACTTTGAGCTTTGGAAACATTAAATTCTACTGCACGAATCGAAAAATATCCCACTGAATTTTCCCAAACAATGTAGAATTAAATAAGTAAATTTATAACTGTAAATTATTTAACATTGGCATGAATTTATGTAGGTATGTTTGTTTCTGAATATAATAATATTTTTGTGTGCTTCATGTATGGTAGTTTATTGCTGCTAGATTACATTTATTATATGGATATGATAAAATGAAGAAACATTTTATCTACTCCAAGTGAATAAGTAAACAAATTAACAAGGCAGTTAGATAAGATAAAAAATTTTAAGTTACTGGAGAATAAAATTGTTCTTTGTTGTTGAGATTAAAGAAAGAAATAGTAATTTTTCATATAGCTGTAATGAATAAAAGTGCTCATTGAGTAATAGAGAATGAAATTGTACTAGGTGGTTGATACAAGAAAAAATTAAATGATTTAATTAGCTATTAATTGTGCCCATGGAAATAATATCTTGGTTTATGAACCATTCAAGTCGTACGGTTATATTATTTGATGTAGTATAGTTAAATAAAACTAAAATTTACTAATAAAAAATGATTTTTGGAAATTTTACTTTGTTCTTAATGTGGAAGGTGGTAATATTAATTATTCCCACATCTTATTAATTTTATAGGTATAATAGAAAAATCTTTGGGAACATTTTTCATTGTTAATGAAATTAACTATGTATGGATTGAAATATTAAAATCCAAATTTCGTGAAAAATAAAAAAAAGATTCTCCCAAAGTGTTTTCAGGAATCAGTAATTTAAAATCCACAACACATTTATATGTAAAATTCAACAAAAATTTTATTTATATATACAATATTCACAAAATACAATATATTATTTTATGGCTATACAGAATTCATATAGTTCATTATATGACAGTAATAACATTCATTTGTATTTGACAATAACATGGAACTAACAACACAATACATATCACATTTGCTTTTCAGCTCTATAAAAGATAACTAGCAAAAAAATCTGTCATAATTTGCTGATTTCTTTAATATTTGTCTCAATATTCAAGCTGAAATTTTATGTATTTAATCAATATTATTTCATACATGTCCAGTTTAAATTATTAGTGTAAAATTATAATTACTTTTGAGATTTCTGAGAATCAGCAAATCATTGCAGAAAATCTGATGATTGGTAGAAAATAATATATTTTAATGTTACGTTAAATAGTATAAATATCTGAGTATGAAGACATATTGAATGAAATGTATAATATTTGGTATTTAATAAAAGTTTGGCTTCAAAAGACTGGTCATACTACTCTCAAATGTTAGTCTTATGATAGCATTTTACTTTCTTCATGCATAATTGGCATATTTTCTATTATACTGACAGGTTTTATTATAAAATAATATTCATACATACTTGTCATATTTTCATTTGAATATTACATACTACTAGAAAATGCAGTAAATATGATGGACTTTGGTCATAACTGTTGCATTATTTGTCATCATCCTGCTGTTTTACATTAATACAATCAATCAGTCCATGTCTTAAGCGTTCTGATCTAGAAGGAGGTATCCTTTATAACATTAAACTGCTCATGTTGCTCAGTAATCTATTCAAGGCTATGAACACATATTCGTAATGAAGTTGTACGTACTTATTAGTTAAATTATTTTCTAGGTTTGGTATTGTGTAATGTTCAGCGATACATGTATGTTTGAGGCCAGTGTCTAAGCGGACTTCCTTTACTACACCGTGTTTTACATTTACTTCTAACAATGCTCCTCCTATAAAGTATTGAGCTTAATAATTGTGCAATTAAATTGGTAATGTGCCAACTGTCAATCTGGAGTATTTTGGTTCTATTAATATAAAAAATGTTGAATATAATTTGGTTTTAAAGGGATCAGTAATATATTATAAAGTAGTGAAAATGATAAATACTTTTGAAAGCTAGATTATTATATATTTGTAATTTTTCTCAGTATAATTTTGCTTGTAGAAATCATACTCTTAAATAAACATTTATTATAAGTTAATGAATTACATATATACAGAGACTAAAAGTGCTATACACAAAGCATCTGGAAAAATAAGTGACTTATTTGTCCATCTTTGGTTTGTGATGCAGATTGTAATAATGGAATTATGAGTAGATTGTCATCAGGATCATCTGAAAAACAGAAATATATTTTCTCAGTTAATACATACTTTAATGAACTATTGATACTAATGATTGATATATCGAAATTATCTTTACAGTATTATCTTTGTATGGCTGAGAGCTGGTGAGTTACATTTTACCGATCTTGACAATGATATGGCAATTAAAAAGGAAAACATTTAGTGCCGTATTTTTTAATGGGCAGTTTGTGTTGAATTCTGTGTTCTAAGAATTCAACAGTTTGGTTCTTCACACTAGTGAGTTGTGAACTCACTACCTTTCTAAATGAATGTCCAATTCCACTTCAGAATGTAATTGATATGAAATGTAATGATCATAACTTATGTGTTTATTATTGTGGTGCTACATTAACCTTTCATTAACAATTTGATTTATATTATTAATTTGTGAAAAAAAAGGAAATTGGATCAAAGTCTGTTAATTGACATGAAATAAAGTTTAATTACCTCTTCCAGTGACAACGGGTTTCCTTTCATTTTCGTATCCAAGCTATTCATACTTCTGGAATAAATGATAAAGCTACTGTTAATGTAAAAATGAATTATCTATCAGCATAAAGGATTTATTGCTTGCAGTATCAATTGGTCTGTTTTTAATTGATAGGGATCTCTGATCTTTTTACAGTTTTCAGGATATGATACTTGATAATATGGAATACTTTGTGTTAACGGGAGAAAGCAGTAACTTTCTATATTCTCATTGAATATCAGAAAAGAGATGAATACGCAGGGAAGTTCAATGTCTGTCTACAAATCAAAAGTTTAGTTTACTTTGAATAGAAATGGTAACGGCGAAAAATGGTATTCTTGTACAAATTAATGTTAACTATGACATTCAGGAACAATTCAGAAAAAAAGTTATTTCTGTTGAAAAATAAATGAGTTTTCTTAATCATTCCAAGGTTTTAATAATTATAAGTGCATCTTATGTGCAAATTATAAAATAACTCGAAGTATCTTGCAAACAAAATCAATTGGACAAACGTAATAATATTTGCTTAATTGAACGAATAAGGAAAGGTTATGCAATATAATTAAACATAATTACAAAAAAGATCTTCATTTAATTGACATGGAAAATATCATTTAAACAAACTAAATAAAACTACAAGAAACAAAAAAGTCCAAAATCTTAATAAGATAAAAAACAGTATATTTTAAGTAATAATTGTGATATAAAATGGATGATAGGTGAAATTAATCAATTTGAATAAAACTTCAGAATAAATTTTATTCTGAAAGAATCAAATACTTTATATTACATTTTTTCACCAAAATTGTCAATCTAAGTGCATGCTCTTTTCAAACAGTAATGATAGTGCTCTTATTTATGTAGCATTGTAGGCATTTATTGTTTATTAATTGAACCACTGATCACAAGTTCTTATAAACTTGTTATAACTTTGTAATATAAATATTCCTATTTTAACTTTTGTTTTTACCAAATGAACAGTTTTATAGTTCACATGACTATTGATATTTGTAGTCACCATTTCATATTTTCATACACATACCATTTCAAATTTTTGTAATAATTTTATTCTTTCCTTTTTTAATTTTGAAATCAGATTTTGGATTTTTTTTACTCTTAAGAAAATCTCAACTTATGTTGGGACACTTCATGTCACTCCTATGCATCCAACCCTGTAATAGACACATACTCACCATGTGCAAGGTGTAGTCTCACCATGGCCATTATGAAGCATTCTGAAGTGAGTACACAATTTTTTGCAAACCTTAATACCAGACACTCCAGCACCTTGTTGCTAGCAGTGCTCCCAGCCTCCCATAGTAAAGGCCGTAAGTTGTAACTACTAGTCTTAGCCCCATGACCTTTATCAAATTTTTGGAATGCTATCTGAAAATTGAAAGAAAAATCTAAAATTAATTTGGTGATGTCATAGTTTACAAAGAATGAACTTTTAGAGTGATGTGATGTGATGCTATTTAAAATTGGAAACCAATCCTCAAGAAACAGGAGGATAAAATTGTTAGCGGAAAAAATGTTCTCTCAAAAATTTAGAAATCGTGATTTGCCATTGAATAAAATAATCCACGCGTATTTGTACGAAAACATTAGTCTCAAAATCTCAGCTCGACGCTAAAATGTATGTTCAATTCTGATTCTGGGTAATATCATAGGTGGCTTCAGAATGTTTATTTCCTGTAACAGGCTTCCTGTTCATCTAGGAGCATGAGTGCTTGTGTATAAATCCATATTTATAAATTACTTGTAAATCTTTCTCAAGAACGTTTTTGAAACCAAAATGAAAAATAATTGAATTTGTTGATGGTAGAAAAATGAGTATATGAATTGTTCAGGTGATGGTTTTATACAGCTGAACAATCTGACAGTAGCTTTTTAAGAGTAAAAACATCTTTCAATAAATCTCTACCAGACAGTTCTTGAATTACATTTTTTTAAAGTCTTTACAAAACGCTACAAATTATTCAGGAAAGTACAGTAAGATATTTTTTGATCCTATTGGGAAAACAATTAATTTGTGAATTTTGGGTAAAGTGTGTATTCCAAATTAATGCTTGGCATTTCTTACCCTCCAGAACTGCAGCATGTGCATGAGGACAGGGATGTCCAGAATACTGATCCTGCCACTGATGTTGTAATCTCTGAGCATGATGAGCGATTTGCAGAGTTCAAGGGAAGGCTTCTCTGAAAGGTAGGCTGCAGAGAAACAAAAAAATAATACTTGTTTTAAATTATGTGTTTAATAAATATGTGATAATATTAGAAACAAAGCTTAATGTTATGAACACATTAATATTTGTTTTATGTGATATGTTAAAAGCAAATGTATTTCTCATGTGAACTTCCTTTGTTGACAATTAATGAAGTAAATTTTATTCTCTTGAAATTCAGCACGATTTATTATAACATTTATTTTATTCGTTAAATGAGTAACAGGGCTTGCGCTCAGTGTGGTAGCAAAGAGGAAAGAAGACAAAAAGAGGGAGGGATGTCAGATGATTCAGGAAAAAGTGGGAACCACTAGCATGGTGTGATGTGGTTCGGTAGGGATTTGAGCTGCATGTCAGAGATTGAGTGTGAAGACTTTTCCTTTACACTGACTCGTCTGGGTGTTTGGCTCTCACTTAATCATATTTTTCTGCACTCTACTCTCTTACATACATATCTGTTCCTCCTTTTAACTTCCTCACGTTGCCCTCTTTATATTTCTTTCAAGCACACACATACCGAAATACTAGAAATTAAAATTATATACAATTAGAAATTTGATCAACGTAAAAGCCATTTGTGTAATTCTGTTATTCTAACTCCACTGAAGCATTTTATCTTAACAATTATAGTATCATATTTTGGGGTATTACCTTTCCAGTGTGACTTCAAAATTTTCTGAAGTTGTGCTGCATCAACTTCTGCGGGATATTTTAAAAGAAGTTTTGCAACCAATGGTTTTCCGTCAGGCTGAAAAAGTAGAATCACAGATGATTTTGAAACATATATATTGATTATGATATATGTACTTATGAGGTCATGATTTTCAAATCCATCAGATGATTTTGCGAGGAAATGAAAATACATATGTTTGAAATATAAAAATATTGCTGCTTTCATACTTGTGTGTTGGCAAATTCGATTTGAAAAAGTATTAAAAACATGTTTTAAATACATCTATTTTTGATAACACATATTTATTAAGTGATATATGATTATTGAATGAGAGGCAAGATATATTATTCACTGGCAAATAAATTAATTATGCATTTTTATGATAATCATTTCAAAGCTGAATCTGGATGTTTCAGTGTAACGTTTTGCTCTCAAACATAAAGAAATCCATTTTTTAATTTCTAATGCAGAATTTTGAATTACCTTTCTTAATTATTTGAATGTTGAAATATTAAGACACACTTTTTGAGTGGAAGATTATTTTTAAAAATTATACTTACAAGAATGACTGTGTCTTCTAAGAATTCTGTGGAAATGTTGCGAAAAACCATATTGTCCTCATTCACCTCCCTGTGGAAGATAATATTTTAAATTAAAATATCAAATATTTATTCCATTTCTATTAAATACCCAAAAATATTGAATGTAAATTACCAGATGTTGCTTTGTTCATCTGTGAGAATTCTGAGCAGGAACTTGCCATCACAGTTAGGTATATTTGTTTGTGGCACCACAATGTAATCACCAGGAGGTAGTGTAAAAAATGTAACTACCTCCCGTGCAATAGAATGGTTTGTGACATCCAGAGGTTTCTGTAAATAAAAATCATGATAGGTATTAAGTAATAATGAAGAAATATTTGAAAATATAATTGACACATCTAAATGGTTAATAATGCTTTCAAAAATTTGAATTATCACTCATAAGCTACAGAAACCTTTTTTTGGAGAACATTGTAAGTTGTTCCTTTAAAGAAATAGATGCCAGTAGAGCGCCCAAGTTAATATTTCCGCTATTGCCATTTTGTGTTACGATAAAATTGCTAAAGATTTGTGCAGAAGCATTTGGTCTGGCTTAAAGATCTTTGATGTCTATTGTTCATGAAGTTAGAAAGGCCGAAGGGTTTAGATGTCAGTAACTGTGGAAAAGAAACTGAAGAATGTGGTCGTCTATACGCTACATGTGCCCCTCACATGTACTAGTAACATCCCCTTACTAACATCTATAGTGATGACCTAAAAAGGGAGTTATTACATGCCTCTACGGTGATTTATGTACAAATGGAGGTTTCTAAGAGGCAATGCGACTTGGTGCTTTGGGAATGTTCGATACGTGACGTTGAAAGAACGCCTCAAAATTTTAGATTGGCGCGCCGTTCGAAACGAGAAAAACTTCGTACAGCAATCAGGGCCAAGTAAAAACAAAACTTAGAACGAGTGTAACCTAGTAAAGACACTAAATAAATTAGAACGTAATAAAGAGAAGTCAAGAAATTAGAATGTATTAAAGAAACGTAAAAAAAGTAGATCATAATAAAGAAAATCGAAAAATTAGAACGTAAAAAGGAAGAAACTCGAAACTAGAATGTAATAAATATGTCAAGAAATTATAACGCAATAAAGAAAAGTGAAGAAATTAGAACGTATTAGAGAAACGTAAAAAAATCAGAACGTATTAAAGAAAAATCGAAATTTTAGAACGTAATAAGGAAAAGACAAGAAATTAGAACGTAGAACGTATTTCTTTACGTGAAACGTAAAGAAATTAGTACGTAGGAATGAAAAGCCGAGAAATTGAACGTACTGAAGAAAAGTAAATAATTATAACTCAATAAAGAAAAGTCAAGGAATTATAACGTAATTAAGAGAAGAAAAGTGAAGAAATGAGAACGTAATAAAGAAAAATGAAGAAATCAGAACGTAATAAAGAAAAGTGAAGAAATAAGAACGAAATAGAGAAAAGTGAAGAAATCAGAACGTAATGAAGAAAAGTGAAGAAACTAGAACATAATCAAGAGAAGAAGAGTGAAGAAATGAGAACGTAATAGAGAAACGTAAAGAAATGAGAACGTAATAGAGAAACGTAAAGAAATGAGAACGTAATAGAGAAACGTAATGAAATCGGAACGTAATAAAGAGAAGAAGCGTGCAAGAGCAGTTAAAACGCGCGCGCACGTCACCTGCTCCGCGACGAACTGCGGCGTGAGGCGCAGCATGTTGGGCGGCACCTCGTACACGGCGAAGCCGATGGCGAACAGCTCGCGCTGCTTCTTGCCGCGCTTGCCGCCGCCGCCGCCGGCGCCGCCGCCGCCCGCGCTGCCGCCCTCGCCGCCGGCGCCCTGAGGCTCGTACGCCTGCGTCACCGACACCACCACGTGGCACTTGGCCGCCGCCGAGCGCGGGATCTGCACGTGGAACTGCGGGTTGGTCGCCGTCGTGTCTGCGGACATACGTGCCGAGCTTGGAATGCACGTCGCTGCTTCTGGTGGTTGTCGAAAACGCGCAAAGGAAGGAAGCAAAAACAAAAGAAAGATGGAACAAAAAGACGAGAAAGAAACTGTGGTAGAGGGAAAGGACGAGGAGCATGGTGTCTTCTTGGAATCCGATCCGGTCTGCCGAAACATCGATATTTTGAATTTTTTTCTTGTTATTCACAGAGAACAGATGCGGTTATGAAATGCCGCATGCACAAATTCTGCACAAATTCGAATATTTCGGGATATACTCGTTTTGAGAGCCCATGGTATCAAAAATGAGTTTTTTAAAAATCTACTGAAGTGTAGGTGTACACTGGCACCTACACCACAAAACAGATACTTAACGTCGATCGATATAGCTAGAGCCTCTGCTCTTTAAATTGTGGGGACTACTATATATTTGTAAGAAGCCAATATTAGTTCATTTGGCCATATATGAATTCAATTTGTAACTGTCCATTATATTTATATCCGAAGATGCTCCATAGTGGCAACATCCGAACGTACTTTAAATGAAAGAAAATTGCAAGAGTTAAACAAAAGGGAGGGGTAAATATCCAAGTAGGTCAATAACTTTGCCGTGTGTTAGCTCCGGAAAAAGAAACAGCAAATTTTGTAAATTAAGCTGAAGGAGGAGAGTAGAAAATAAAGAGCAGGAGGATAGGGAGTAGAAGATGAAAGGAAGAAGCAGAAAGAGAAGAATGGAAAGAAGGAAGAATGGAGTAGAATAAAAAGCAGGAGAGTAATGAGAAGGGTAGGGAAGCAAGAATTAGAAGAATAGGAGATGAAGTAGAAAGGGACAAAGAGATGATGATGGATGGGAGAAAGAGAAGAGTAGAAGAGGGAGAGAGTAAGAAGCAGAAGGATAGTAAGAAAGAGGCGGACGTGCAAGAAATAAGCAGAAGAATACAAGTAGAGTAGGTCAAGGAGAATACAATCGAAGGGATAAGTAGAAGAGGAATATAATAATAAGCAGAAGGATATGAAAGCATGAAGCTGAAGAACATATAGCGTAAAGGAGGAGGAGAAGGAGAATGGAAGGAAGGGAGAAGAAGAGGGTAGGAAGCAAAAGACGCGCTGGCGAAGGGGGCTCACCGATGTAGGAGGGCCCGCCGCCGGCGTTGTAGCCCGCGCGCCACCGCCTGCGCGCCAGCACGGCGCGCCAGGGCTGCTTGGAGTGCAGGGCGGGCTCGCCCATCCAGTCGTCGGGCCCCACGTGCACCAGGTCCAGGTGCGTGAAGTGGCGCGCGAAGTCCTCGAACGACATCCTGCGCACACCGCAATCCTCCCTCCGACTCTGGACTCGATCCCAGCGAAACGTTAGCGGTCTCCGAATGTCTTTGCTCGTCTCCGGAAGTGATGGGATGTCGCAAGAGAAGTCGGCAAGGGGAACAAAGTGACTAGTTGTTCTAAACGCAGTCTGGACGAGCTGTGCTTGTCAGAACAAAGCTGAGCTTCAAACAAGAGGAGTGCAAAGCTTGGGTGAACCAACCGCAGCCCACTTCAGTCGAGCTCATCCAATCCCAGTCGAATCAAATCTTTCCAATCCGAGTGGGGTCGGGTCGAGTCGGGTCGCATCGAGTCGGGGAGGGTCGAGTCTGGTCGGATAGAGACGGGTCGAGTCGGGTCGTCTCAGGTTGAGTCGGGTCAAGTCGGGTCGAGCAGAGCCGAGCTCGGCGGAGCTACGCCGAATAGAGTCCATCTGACCCGACTCAAATTGGGTATACTAGAGTCGAATCGAGGGCGAGCCTAATTCGACCCCACGCAGGACCTTAGCCTTGGCTAGTCGAATCGATTAGTGTCTGGTCAAAACGATTATTTTGGAGTCGAGTCAGTTCAGACCGAAATAATCTTTTCCGAGGCGAGTCGAGTCAAATTGAGTCAAGTCTACTCATATCAAGCCAAGCCCATTCAACCCAAGTCCGTCCACTCATGTGAAGCTAATCAAAATACCTATCCTACTCGTCCCGTTGGCTTCCCCCCCCCCTGAAGCAGCCGAGAGTTGCTACCAAGTTGTCGCTCTGCGGGTGGGGGTGGGTGAGTGGGGATATAACTCACCAGAACTCGCCGTCGTTGCGCACGCGCACGCTGAGCAGCTGCTTGTCGCGCTCGCTGAGCCCGTCCCACTCCCAGGAGCGCTCGCTCCACGGCCCCGTCCACTCGCCGCGCGCCCACGGGTATGCGCAGGCGTCACACAGCGCGTCTCGCCCAGCGGGCCCGCGCACGCGCCTACGCCCGTCACGCTGCTACGCGTGCGCCGTTGATGAGCCCGTCTGCGCAGGCGCCAGCTTGCGCGCTTGTTCTCCTTCTCCTGCTTGCACCACACGTACATTTGCGGTTCTAATCAGGATTAAAAAAGCTCCCCCTGTAACATCTTAAGGTAGACGTCCCTGATGTAACTGTGTTGAGACGTTATGTTCATAGATATTCTTTGCGAAGTTCGTCGCTGGCGCTTGTTCTATTTCTCCTGTACCACACAGCTTTTGGTTTAACCGAGGAATAAACATGACTTCCCCGTAACAATGCTTAGTGTCGTCAACTATGAATGATGATTCGGTACCAGTTATGTCTAGACATTCTTTGTGAAGTTGTCGCTGGCGCCACTGTTCTCCTTCTCCTGCGCACACCCACGTACATTTTGGGTTTTAATCGAGGAATTAAAAAACCCTTAAATCAATCTCCCGTGTATGATTTGACGTATTAAAATTTTTGTGAAGTTCGTGCGGTTGCTCTCCTTCACAAACTGGTTTAAGAGATAATACTCCCTTAGATGTATAGGTGGTCGCCGATTACAGGTGACAGTATCGTCATAGATTCTTGGAGTTGTCGCTGGGCTTGTTTCTCCTTCTTCTCCTCGCTACCCACAACACTATTGGGTTAACAGAGGATTAAAAATGACTCACCCCCTTAAACATGCGTAAGGTTGGCGTCCTGAATGTTAATGTTGAATCGATATGTCTAGGTAATCTTTGTGAAGTGTTCGCTAGGCACTTGTTTCTCCTTTCTTGCGCACCACACGTACCATTTGGATTTAACAAGGATTAAATGCCCCACTTTCGCCCTACAACAGCTTAAGTCGTCGTTAACTGATGATAATGTATGGGTTGGGACCAGTACTGGTCTAGACATTACTTTGTGAAGTTGTCGTCTGAGCGCTGTTCTCCTTCTCGATGCACCACACGTACATTTTGGATTTAGCGAGGATTTACAAATGACTTCCCCCCTTTAAACCATGCTTTATAGCGTGCGTCCCGATGTTAATTGATGTTGGATCGGTACATCTCAAATTATCTATTGCGAAAGTTGTTAGCTGGCGCCTGATTCTCCTCTCTGCGCACGACACATACACTATCGCGTAATCGAAGACCAAAATGACGCCCCTTAAATGAGTTGTCGATGATTTTAGATTGAGTTTGGGATCGGTAGTGTCCTTTCGTGCTGAATCGCTGTTTTCAATCCGGGATCAAAGTAACTCCCCTTAAATATGTTGTTTGCTGAGTTGACTGTCTGTGCGGGATCAATGTCCCATGACGGGAACGCTGGGTTGAAATGATTACAATATGACATTACGCTAAATGATGTTGTTCCAGATTTTAGTGACTATTTGGATCAGTATGTTGTAGATGTTCTTCGGCAAGCTGTCGTTTGCGCGTTCTGTTTCTCATGCGACACGACACGTGGTTTAAATCGATTTCAAAAATACTCCCTTAACATTTGGTGCCTCACTGATTTTAGATGACCTGGTGGTTGTCTGAATAGTCTTGTGCAGCTTCACTGTTCGCTTGTTCTTCCTGCGCACACACATTACACTTAGTTTAACGGGGAATCATAATGCCTCCATTAAGTGTGTCTGTACTTGAATGTTAGTGATTGTTAGTAATCGTATATTCCTTGTGCAGAACACTGGGTTTATCGGGATCAATGACTTCCCCTAAATGTGTTGCTTTTGATCTTTAGAGACTGATGGGATCGAGTATGCTTCTTTGTGCAGGAACACTGGGTTGAAGTGATGGTTCCAAAAATGAACTCAGCCTAAATGTGTCTGGTATCTTTGTATTTTACTGCCCTGGTGGACGTTTAGATATTTGCTACGCACGTTCGCTTGTTACTTCGCCCACGACCAACTTTCACATTGGGTTTTATCAAGGACACAACAATGTATAACTCCCCCCTAAAAGTTTCCCAGATATCTTTATCGACTTTGGGTATCGGCATCGTGAGATTCCTTCGATAGCTATCGGCTTTCGCTTTTTCTCATGCGCAGCGGACAGACATTGGGTTTAATAGGGTTTTTTCTTCTATCTCCTGCCAAACTCCACTTTCAATATATAGGTGAAGCGTTATGCTAAGAAGGGATCCCCTTGACTTTTTGATGTTGAATGACCATATTGTTCATTAAATACTAAATTGTTTGTGCATGGTTGTTTTGCACCATTACCAATGGCATGATCTCCTTTTCTCGGGGATATATGGACAGAAATGTTCTTCAAAATGGTTCTACAAAAAAGGTTTCTCACTTAAATGGCCCCTATCTGTTGTTTTCTCTTCTGAAAAGTATTAATATCTATCATGTTTTAGAACTCCCTCCCTCCTATGGCTAGCGTGCTTCCCTTTTCGGAGAAGGAATGCCGCCGAAAAGGAAACAACCAAAATAAGCTGTACCTGCGTTAGGTGAATTTGTTTGCAAACGGGTTTTGGTAACGCAGCATCACCTTGCGTTTGTTCTTTGCACCTTATACAAGCTTGGTTGTTCAAGAGGACTTCCATTCCCAGAAAAGGATATATCTTTGATTGGAAATAGCTCTTCTGTGATTTAAAAATCATATAATTTACGTGTTTTAATATATTCTGGCGTTCTGGTTTTAAGCAAATACGCACAAAATGAAAAGTACATTTTTGTATTATATATTCATGATATATTTACGTATTTTTTTCATTTGACCTCTGATTAAAAGTTTTACGTTAATAATCTATTGAAGCGCCATTGGGGAGCACCTGCTCTAACTCTGGGAACATTCTGACTAAAAGGGGTATGCATTGCTTTATTTAGAGAGTCCTTCGTAGTTAAAAAGGGGATCCTATTCTCTTTAATACGTAGAACCTTGGTTATAAGGGAAATACATTGCTTTAGCTGTAACCACGGAGTAATTTCTGGTAAAAAGAAGTGTACTACTACCTATGGGATAGTTTGTTGGTAAAACAGGATGAACTGTGGTCTATCTACGGAGTCGATTGTGACTAAAAAGGGAGTGTTCTATGTGGTTATTTCAAGTAAAAAGGGATACACCCCGATCTGTGGGTAATTTTTGTCTAAACGTAGCGTGTCAACGTTCCAATTATACGTGATGTAACCGGTTTCATCTATGAAGTACACACACATTCGCGGGCGTGTGTGGGTGCGTGCGTGTGTGCACATCTAGCGGGTATTCCTGTGCAAAAGGAGTTTGTTGGGTATTTCACAGTGTGTATGTATGGTTGTGTGTGGTGTGTTTGTGGGAGAGAGAGAGAGAGAGAGAGAGAGAGAGAGAGAGAGAGAGAGAGAGAAAGAGAAAGAGCGAGAGAGTGTTAGACTGTGTGCTTGCGTGTGTATTTTTGTGAGAGAGTGAGAGTTTCAGAGAGACTGTGTGTGTGAGAGGAAGAGAGAGAGGGCGAGAGTTGGAGAGAGACTGTGTGTGAGAGAGAGGGTTAGACTGTGTGTGTGTGAGAGAGAGCGAGCGAGCGAGAGAGAGATTTGGAGAGAGACTGTGTGTGTGTGTGTGTGAGAGAGAGATAGAGAGAGTTAGACTGTGTGTATGTGTATGAGAGAGCGAGAGTTGGAGAGAGACTGTGTGTGAGAGACAGCGTGACTTAGAGAGGGTTAGACTGTGTGTATGCGTGTGAGAGAGCGAGAGTTGCGAGTGGTGGTGCGCTCACCGGGTTGATGGAGGCGATGAGCAGCGAGGAGCGCGGCACGGCGCTGTTGAGCACCTGGAAGGTGAGGAAGCGGTCCTGGCCGCCCAGGCCGAAGCTCTGCACGATGCCGCCGGTGAGGTCCTGCAGCGCGCGCGTCGTGCAGCCGGCATGCAGCGCCTCGTAGCTCCCGTACAGCCTGCGCACGCCCCGCACGCCCTCGCACTCAAGCGCACGCATGCGTACCCACGGAAAGGGAAGGCGTGTGGGGGAGACGGGAGAGGAAAGGTGAAGCGAGGGGGGAGGGGAAGAGACCGATGAAGGGCGAAGGAGAAGAAGCGATTAAATGATATATTGGACAGAGAGGAAGCGAGAGCGAGGTGTAAGGAAAGGAATAGAGGAGAGCGGAATGGAGAGAGCGAGTGAGAGGGGAAACGAGTTGTAAGGAGAGAGGAATGAAAGGGCGAGAAAGAGAGAACAAGAGGGACGGAGAATGAGAGTGAGAGGAGGGGACAGTTTGGGAGTAAAGGAGAGGAAGGGTAGGGAAATTAGGAAGGGCAAGAGAAAGGAAGAAACAGAAGAAGAGGAAGAAGAAGGAAGAGGTTAGAAATAGGAAAAAGAAGTTCAGGCAGGAAGAGATGGAAGAGGAGAGGAAACTAGATATGAGAGAGGGGAGAGGCGTCCAGGCAATCAGAGAGACCCGAGAGATGGACTGGTGACCCTGTCAAAGACAGTCCTGCATAGAAAGAAAAGTGTATGCTACATAAAATCCAAATTTTATTGAAAATAATCTTCTAAATTTTTTCAACTAGTACTTTCGCGTTTGGGTAGTGAATAATGGTTTGATAAATAGTTCTTGGAAAAGCTTCTAGATCTTCCAAAAACCCATTAAAACTCTAGTATTTGTTTCGTAATTTAGTTTAATATTTTCTAATGAACTTATTTGCAAAAATTTAATTCTCCTCTCTAGATGTGACGGTCAGTTTATTATTACTATTATTATTATTATTATTATTATTATTATTGTTATTATTATGACTTCATTATTTTATTTTTTACGATTACACAAATTGTCCTACTTTAAAATAGACGTGAAAGCTGCAAGCAAGAACATTGTTGTAGTACAAATATTGCATTTTACGAAATTACGCTCAGACGAGAAGACAAAGTAAAAATTTCCCTCTGACATGGTCTTCGACGTTTAAAATTAAATACTTTTTGTAAACCTATGAATCATTGTTGATAACTGAATGCATTATATCAGGATAATAATTCAATAACCTATTCTGTTTTGCGCATCTGGAGCTAATAGGAATCCTGTTAAAAAGAAAAAAAATCAACCGCTATTCATTTAGCAACTGGCCGTACTCTGTATATTCAATCTCCGTCCACACACCGAACACGTGGTTGAACCGGAATTGACTACTTTAATCTAGTTAGCTCTTTCTACTTTTTGCTCTGAAGAGAAACATTTCATGATATAGTATCTCATTCTCCTGTGGGTTGCAACCAGTGTGCTTGATGCGAATAGCTTGGGCTTCGGGGTGAAAAGAGTGACGTGTGAATTTCTATGTCAGGTTAATTGGCTTTAAGTGATGAAAACGAATTGCGTTAGGGACTGAAATAACTGATAAAAAATTGTTACGTTAAGGAAAAACGATTATTCTAAAAGGAGTTTTATTTCTTAATATAATCACTTAGTTCCCATTCTCATGTCATAAAGTAATGTAAATTAACTGACATTGACAAATTGATTCATCTTAAAAAATTTAACTTCACTTGCTGAATCTAAAGATCGAAATCAAATAGACATTATTTACTAAATTTCGCATTTGTTAATTTCAAAAGTTATAAAATTGCGAAGGGAGAAAAACAAAGGATGATTTTTCAAAAAACACAAAATCAAATTATGTTAATTTGACCGCACGCTACAAAATTAGACCTTTCAGAACCTTCTATAACACATTTGGAGATTTATCTCTTTTAATTCGTAACGCGGGTGGTCAAAAACATGTAGAATCGAATGAGATGTATAATTAATTTGATTACTCGTTTTTTTACCGGTTTCTTCTCTTCTCCGTTTTACCGTTTACCTTCTCCGAGTCTAAGTTTCTGTGTTAGTAAACGCTTAGCAATATTTCAGTGTTTACACACGTATTTCTCCGGGGCTGAATATGATGTTCGCTGTTCGTTTTTCGTTTAGTTCCAGTTTGAAACACTTTTCACATATAAAACAATGATTTACGAAGTGCAGGCTTCGCACGTGTTGCCCGTGATCGTTAAAATACACGAACCTCTTCTTTATAATTATCATCAGTTTCTGAGCCTCTTTGGTCATATCTGAAATGAATGGTTTTGATAGATGGGTAATACTGACTTAAGTGATGACGGACTGAGAGGCATTGGAAACGAGAAAAAGAGCCGTGAACTCGCTTTATTCATCCCAAATCGGGGAGCATATTTGAAAAGTAACGTATTTTCAGTTCCGTTTCTTGTCTAGAGTTACGTGTCATGATATTCTTAAGACGCTTCTCCATCACGCTGCCAAATATCGTGTTCCAAAACTGCGTTTTCCCTGCGTTAAAAAGGCAAAGGTGGCTCAGGGCATCAACTAATGCGAATTCAGTGACTTTGACCGGGAGTTCCTAGGATTTGAGTTCCGACGGTGGCAGGATTTTCGACACTAATTAGATAGCTAGGTCGAGTTCTGTAGCTGTCTGGAGAAGAATTCTAGCGCCCGGCTGTTCTAAAAGGTAGTTTTCCGTGGTTTCTCCGATCAACACCAGGCGAATGCCGGATCAGTACCCTCACAAACGGGCCAAGGACCGTGCGCGATCTTTCCTTCCTCGCAACCCAAAAGCCCGCAAGCCGACCGGCAGGACGGCGCCGGATCTCAGAAACCAGCGGGGGAAGATCACCGTCACCTCCACTAATATTATGCACTACACTTACGGGACCAATAAGTCCAGTAGTTGACGCGCCCGGAATCACTAATCAATCAATTAATCTTGTTAAACAATATCTGATAACAGCTAAATCGAATCTTGCACTGTAAGATTTAATATGAATGCCTTAATTTCCTAAACAACTGTGTTTCGTGGTACCTCAATTTGGAAATAATGCTCGTAAATTCCACACCGATCAACCTGGATTTGAACCCACATCCCAACCGCGAGGCACTCACACCACGAGTCGCCCAGTATGTACGAACCATTGTAAAAAAAAAAACCACTGCCTGCGAGTGGCCTGCATTTTCCAACAGGTTCGGAACTTCCATTCTCGCCGCCGCTGAGGGAATCTGGGCTAATGTCAGCCAGACCGGCGGCGCCGGGTGCGGAACTCTAGCCTGGAGACTGCAAGCGACGCCGAGACTTTCCAATCATATGCGAGAGCGCGGCTGCGGAAGCCGACGCGCGCTGGCCAATTAAGGTCAGCCGCATTTCTCTCCCCTTGATTATGCATTGTGTGCGGAGCGGATTAAACCGGCCGCGTTAGTGAAATACAGTTGCATTCCTGCGTACGATGCTTCGCGGACCGGGAGGTCATAGGTTCCAATCCCGGAGATGTGTTTTTTAGGTTCACAATGGCGCACTAGTGTATCAAACTGACTACGGGCAGAACAATATTTATTGAATGAATTTATGTATTCTTGATTACAGCGTTATTTGATTATTCTTTAGGCCGTTATAGGTACGGGTTTATGATTTGATGGGCAGGCGAATATGAAGATATATCTACGTTGATAAAAAGCCTTGGTGGAATGAACGGCCAGACGAAATGGGATAACCACAAGAAAACAAATTCCAAATGAACCAATCGGCATTTGAATCCATGACCCAGCGGTGGAATGCTGGAATATTACAGGCAATATATGCAATATTAGAATATTTCATCACGTTCGTAATTTATAAAAAAATTGCATAATTCGTTGTCATTTTAACTACTATGAGAAGGTAAAAACAAATTTAAATCTAAGAAATTAAAAAGAAAATTGAAGGTTGAAGACATTCAATTTTGGCAAACATAAGTCTTATTTAACAATCTGATTGATAAAATTAAATTGATGGCTGGTATGATTAAATGGTGCATTGGAAGTGCAAGGCAAGAGAATGAACACAAGCAAAAATCTGCAAACATATTTATTGAAATTGACTATTATGGTTTGTTGGGGAAATATGCTTATGATTAATTATCGTCATTAAAATTGATCAATATTTTAATTAATTGGCGGTTCAGAGTAATTTATTTCATTTTATCTTCCTTCTCGAAGTCAAATATATTTTAATGCCTTAGCAATCAATGAACATTAGTTAATCATTCACAACTTTTCATTGTATTAATTTTATGAACGATCACTGGGTATGATTTTTGTGCTGATTAGCGAGGCGGAAGTGAAAGACTTGGAGGAGGTAGAGGTAGATGTAGATGAAGATGTGATCGACGTGGACGTGGAAATGGAGGTGATGATGTAGGTGGAGGAGAAAGTGTTGGAGGTGGGGACGTGACAGGGTAGAGATGAAGGAGAGAGGAGGTGGCGGTGAAGATGCTGCTGGAAATGGAGTTTTGTTGAACTTTTAGGCCGGAGGTGGAGATATTATTGGTGATGATGATCATCATGATAAAAATGGTCTTGGTGGTGTTGATAGTGGTGGTGACAGTAGTAGTTGTGGTGATAGTGGTAGTAGTGACAGTTGCAGTGGTGAGTGATGGTTGTGATAGTGTCGGTCGATATAGTGGCGTGGTGATAGTAGTTGTGATAGTGGGTGTGGTGATGGTGGTGTTGATAGTGATGGTGGTGGTAAGATGATAGTGTTGGGATGATAAGAGGTGGTGGTTATAGTGGTGATAGTGGTGGTGTTGATAGTGGTGGTATTGATAGTAGTGGTGTTGATAGTGGTGGTATTGACAGTGGTGGCTTTGACAGTGGTGGCGTTGATAGTGGTGGTGTTGAAGTGGTGGTGTTGATAGTGGCGGTGGTGATTGTTGTGGAGGAAAGGTGAAGAGTGATAAAGATGGTGGCGATGGTGAAGTGTGATAGTGGTGGTGATGGCGGAGAGGGTGGTGGCGGAGGAGGCTGAGGTCGCACCGCGGATGCGCTGGTAGAGTATCACTCACTTGGCGTAGGCCTTCTCGAGCAGCGCCACCCAGAACTCGGTGGGGTTGGCGCAGCGCAGGTAGACGAGGCGGCCGCGGTGCGTGGGCAGCCGGTCGTCCACCAGCACCTCCCGCCACTCGCCGAAGTGCCAGAAGCGGAACCTGCAACACCAAGCCACGCCCACCCCTCCATCAGCACTGTCCTTCTTCACTGCGCTCTGCACGCTCACAAGACGAAAGCGTTTGGTCGGGCCTCGAAACGACACAAGGAGAACGAAGGAGTGAGAGGTAGACATCTATAACATCATCCACAAGCAAGCCGCAAAGATTCGTTAGTTTGGAAAGGGAATAGTCACTGCATTTCACAGCTATAGGTGGCTTCTAGATCTTTAAATATTCGGCTCCAAATTTTGCCTATCAATTCATTGAGTTGAGAGGAATATAATGAAGTTTTGAAGGTGTCATAAACTCCTCCATTCGAAAAACGTGCTTTAGGTTTTCAAAACCTCTCAAAACACGTTTTCTGGAATTCTCATATGATATTCTATAAATATCTAAAAACGTGTCAGTTCCTCCATCAGTACTCCACAACATGCAACACCGCGCCATGCCCACACTTAAGTCATCATTATCGTTCACGCACAGGCCCTGGACAAGATCTTACAAGAAAATGCCTGACTGGAAATAGGAAAAACGTTTGGTCTTGCCTCGAAACCACACGATTCTAATAAAGGAGTGAGACGCAGATCTGTAACATAATCTCTAAGCAAGATACGTTATACTTCAATGTGGCCTTCCAGGAATTCCGTTAAAAATTGTGCCAATAAATTCATTGGGTTGTGAGGAATAGAATGAACGATTGATTGATAACTTTTCTAGGTGCCTTAAACCTCTCCCTTGAAAACAGCGTTTGACGTTCTTAAACCATCCCAAAACACGTTTTCGTACGCGTAGGTTAATGGACCGGAAAAGGTATCACCGAATGGGATGGACCACAGGATTCACGAAAATCACCCGATTACTAATGTATTACTACTCGTCCAAGCAAACAATTCCAAATTTATTGAAACATGTCTTACAACTCGATTCGAGAATGGAATCGTAAACCACATAATATTTCCCTCTTTCAAATTAGTATTACACTTCCTACCTCTCTGCTGTTTTTCTGACCTCTCTGCTACTCTTTCTGATCCTGTCTTTCTATCTGCCCTTGCTCTCGTTCCTTTCTCTGTCTTGTCCTCTTTCTTATTCCAATCGCCTTATTCAATTACAACCTATCGCGAACTTTATGTTCCGCAGGCGCCGCTCTCCACCTACTCGCCCTCTTTGTCACGTGAGATTAACTCCGCCTCCGCCGCGCGCGTTCGCGAATTCGCCTTTTTTAAATGAAGTTTTTTGTAATAAAAATGTAATAAGAAAAGAAACGAAGAAGAAAAATACAATAGTCATTGAAAATTAGCCAGACACAAATTATAAACTGGACCATCAGTAGACCGAGACGCATTGGTTAGTGGACCAGAAAACATATCACAGTATTGGACGCACAACAGGAGTCACGTAAGTCACCCGATTTCTGGTGTAGGATTACCATTCGTACAAGCAAAAAAATTCAAAATTAATTGAAGCATGTCTTACAACTCGATTCAAGCATGGACTTGTAAATCATATAATATTTCCATCTATCAAACCTTTCATATCTTTCTGTTCTCTTTCTGAGCCTGTCTTTTTATGTGCCCTTGCTCTCGTTCCTTTCTCTGTCTTGTCCTCTTTCGTATTCCAATCCCCTTATTCAATTACAACCTATCGCGAACTTTAT